ACCCATGGATAAGGCCAGTGTGAGGGTAGGTGAGGGATCTATTCTGGCTGATTCCCAGCAACAGGGTCCCAGAACTTTCTGGCAAGCATGGGGACAGAGACCTAGTGGTTTGGAGGGGAGAGATCCTAAGATCTATTTGGGCTAGACTGATTGACCATCCCACATGGGAATCCTGAGATGGGCTGTTAGCATAGAGCTTCACTGACTGCCACACACCAGTCCACATGAAAGCTATGGATGGGGGCCTCTCTATGGCAGGGCTAGGTACCAGTTCCTGACTGACTGGTGGAATAGTGGATGGGTCACATTTGGCAGGGTCAAGACACTAACTGGAACGCGAAAGAACCAGGTCTGGGGGTAGATTTTGTGGGGGAAGTGTGGGCCCAATCCTGTGATGGGCTGAGCTAGATGTGACCATGGAACCTGCCATCACTTATGGATAAAGGAACTGACAACAGTCTGGGCAGGTCAAGGCAGCAGCACCCGAAAGTGCATCCTAAAATAGGATCTGGGGTGGTCCGAGCAAACCTCACCTTACAAGGAAGAACAGAATTCAGGATGGAACACAGGACATGCCGAACTAGTCTCTTACACCTACTGGTTTGCATGAGCCAGGGATACTAGGCCACAGCATCGAAGGCAAAGGCTGACAGGTGAGAGGCTAAGCCAACCGGGTCACAGCAACCACTGGCACGCACATAATCTAGGGCTAGAAATAGACTCGGCTTGAGAGCTCTGAGAGTACACCCTTGTTGGGTTGGGGTTCCCACGGGAGAGTGCCGGAGTAGGGGCTGCGTTCTGGTCTGGATATGGCTGCAATCTCCCTAGACACAACTGTGACCTGGGGCTGGGCGCACCTAACCAGGCTAGACACCAGCACCATCTGATGCTCTGGAGAACCTGGGTAGATGTAGAATGGACTAAGCTATGTCTCTGCTCCTACTGAGCCATGTGTGAGCAGTGTCTGGGTATGGACAAGCCTTGGCTGGGCTGAAACATCCAACATCAAGAACCGGAATGGATTGAAGGCCAGTAAGGACGGCTGGCCCATGGACCCACCAGTATGTGCAAGATCTGGCATAGGGAGAGGTTCTGATGGAGGAGCTTGGGAGATTCCTCTGTTGGGACACAGTCCCTGCAGGTGAGTGCAAGAACCATGTTAGTGAGCAACCTAGACCAGGCCAGAGAAAGATACCCACCATCATACATTTGGCAAAAGTGGGGAGCAGAACAGGCTGAAACAATTCACATCACCTGCGGGCAAATCTGAGCACCAGCACAGAATGTGGGTCAGGCCAGGTTCAGTCGCAGCACAAACATTGTGGAATGCCAAGGTGAGGTGAGCCATACCAGATGTGGCCGCAGTGCCCAAACAGCACGTGAGAACCAGGGAGGGAGGGGGCAAAGCCAACAGGAGGGATGTGGGTTCCCCTGCTGGACAACCATTCCCACTGGAGAGTGTGAATTGGCGTGAGGGCCCAGTATGAAATGGGCAGGATCGGGCTGGACTGCAACAACCATTGGTTCACAAGGAAGACGGCTGGAAACAGAACTGACCCAACAATTGCAACCACCGGCATGTGCTTAAACTAATTGGGGTGACGGACTGTGCTGGACCCTGTACTGGCAAGCACACACAAGAATCACAAATTTATTTGGAGATCCCTCCAGCTGAACTGCTGATCTCAGAACCCCAACTATGAAGAGACTATGTCAGCCAGTGGATTCTGAAGAGATTTCATCGCGATTGGAACGGTGAGATTGGCAGCAATTCAGAACAGTTGAACTATCAAAAGTGCTTGAGCAGGTCCCTGGGATGGGTGGGAGGCTGGGTAGGGCTTCTCCCTTTGTTTCTACCTTGATCCCAGATACAGGAGGAAAAATGATATTAGTGTGGAAACAATGGTCTTACCCACTTTACTGTAGCCCTTGACCCTTTGTACCCTAATCAACTATGTAAAATTAAATATATATTTATATATATATAAATAAAAAAGTTTGAGGGAAGAAAATATTGTTATTGTGATACATAAGGATTGATTACATTACATACTTTTTTTTTTTGGAGATTTATTTTCTTTTTTCATTGAAAAGCCAGATATAGAGGGAGGTGATAACAGAGAGAAAGATCTGTCCGTTGGTTCACACCCCAAGTGGCCACAATGGCTGGAGCTGAGCTTCTTCAAGAGTTTCTTCTGAGCCTTCCAAGGAGTATGGGGTCCCAAGGCTTTGGGCTGTCCTCGACTGCTTTCCCAGACCACAAGTAGGGAGCTGGAAGGAAGGTGGAATAGCCAGGATTCAAACAGGTGCCCATATGGGATTGTGGCATGTGCAAAGTGTGGCTTTAGCCACTAGGCTAACATGCCAGGCCTAGATAACATTTTTAAACACATAGAGCAGTGTTTTACATATTTTTTTGCATGTGGATTCAAATATAAACAACAGAAGTGTAAAAAATAAATATGGACTAGGGCCAGCATGGTGGCATAGCTGGCTAACCCTGTGCCCTGTGGCACTGCCATCCCATATGGGTGCTACTGTAATCCAGCTCTGCTGAAGGTCTGAGAAAGCAGCAGAGAATGACCCAAGTCCTTGGACCCCTGTACCCTCATGGGAGACCCTGCTCCTGAGCACCTCAACTCTGGTCATTGCAGCCATTTGGGGAGTGAGCCAACAGATGGAAAGGGCCTGCAACTGTCTGTAATGCACTCTTTGAAAACAAACTGAGTGGGGCTCACATAGCAAGTCTAGGTAGTGTGTCTGCAAGGACTCGTCTGTATTATTCTCTGCAACTTGACACAAAAATGTCGTGATTTTGTTTTGCATTTCATTAATGAGTTTCTTTCCAACTGGACATTCACATAGGTGTATTTTGTTTTGCCAGTTACTGGAAGGAAAATGATGAGTTTCCCTGGAAGATTCTAAAGTCCTCCCAAGTGGAGGCACCTGCAGACAGGTGTGCATTCGGGTTCAAAGTCAGGGAGAGAACGGGTGAAGTGGGGAAGGCACGAAGATGGTGGTGACTTGCTGCAACTCCTTACCCTCTGCTTGGAAGGAAGGCTACTTGGCTGTGACGCAGGGGCAGGCAGGAGGGTCTGCAGAGATAAGCCTGGCAGAGGTTCCATGGGCTTTGCCACAGGGCACGAGGCCCTGGGTGGCCTTGCAAAGGGGTTGTCTGATATATTGGGCCAGAATCCTGGCTGGAGGTAGAAGCGCCTTTTGATGTGGCACCTGTGTCTTCGTCCCCACTGCTCCTGGAGGCCACCTTTCACAGAACGGCCTTCTGTCCCACCTGCAGGCTCACCTGACTCCAGACACTGTTAACTGATCAATGAGGCAAATGGCTTTAACGGGGCAGGGTGGGAGTGTTCAGTTGATAAAAGTTCATGTGGCCCCCTTGTCTGAGGCTTCTGAGAACTAGGATCTGGCAAATCTGTGAACATGAGCCCATCAGTCTTCTGGTGTTAAATCTGGAATTAAGATGAGGTAGGAAAAATCTATGCATATTGAATGCAAAATGCAATTGTCTGTCAGTACAGGAACTGAAGTATCTGCTGCAAATTATATTTAAGGCTCTATTGTCCCAGGCAGATTAGCTAATGCTTGATTTTTAAGTATAGGCTCCTAATGCTATTACTCCTGGTTAACTCTGCCTGGCAGGTAACCTTGTGGAACAAATGACTGCATTGCTTGAATAACATATTTGATCAAATAGGACAATTCCTTCAAAAATTGAGTTCTCTGTGGCAATTTGAGACCTGTAATCAGCAAATTAGATGATTACAGCAGGGATAAAAATAGTTCTCTAACAATGTCCAAGGTAGAAATGTGATTTGAATTTCAAAATGTTGAGCATGTAGAAGGCAAAAGCCTGGATAAATACGGCTAGACATTATCAGACTTGATTTCTCTCACCATCCCTGCCCTGGGCTACAGCCTGATTTTGCCCAAATAAGCTCCAGTTGTGCTTGTGTCTGAGGATAGAAGCGCATAGGTCACTTCACCCTAATCTTAAAAAGCCCCACAGCTTTCCTGTGTGGCACACACCTCAGCATTCTTTGTCCACCTAGTGGCTACGAAAGAACCACCACAAATCCATGTCCAAGTTCCCCCTAGGAAGATGGCACTGGACAACTTCAACAGCGGCCACCTAAGCCCCACTGGACAGAGATGACCCCAACTCTGGGAAGGTCTAGCAGGTCAACCCTGAGCTGGGGAAGGCTATGCAGATATGGTGTGTTTGCCTTCCACTCGGCCTTTGTGGCCGCTCAGTGGATCATCCCGTTTCCCCAGCCCTAACATCAAAGCAGGTGAGGCTCAGCAGCATTTCTGCCTCCTGTCCTTCCTGCAGACACTTCTGCCTCAAACCATGAGTCACCAAGCTGATGTAGCTCTCCCTCTCAGCCCCGTGTCTGTGCTGGTGTCACTTGCCTCCTCTGGTTTTTAGCTAATCAGCACAGTTGGCATGGGCATTCGGAGCCAGAGTGCAAGGCCACAAACTGGTTAGTAAGCACAGGAAGTTCCTCTGAAAGGGGTGACTTCACTTGTACTTAGTAGCAGCTCTTGGGCTTGCAACAGAACCATGGAAATTACTGGTGACTGCAGATTTCATTGATGCATCCAGTGACTGACTGCTGGCTATGGCAACACTGACATTTGAAATGTTTGATTTTTCAGAACCTGTAGCATTGCAACCACTACTGCTCAGGATGCTTTTACACAGCACTCAGTAGCACCCTGTACACAGTCATGGCTTGCAAAGCAATCCGAGTGGATACTTACTTCAGCTGGGATCAAATCAGTGTTGGCTCATGTTTGTCAGGTTCACAAATTTATAACAAAATTTGGAAATGTCCTTTGTGCCACATTTTTTTTGCATAGGAAACACCAAATGTAAGGTAACCACGTGGGAGAGGCCTAGCGGCCCGAGGTAACTACAGAACTCTAGAAGCCACGTCATTTCATTATATACCATTGCATGTAGATTTATAATGCATTTATTAGGAAAACAGTATCAAAATTTGCCAGAACTACATCAATGTCAAAAAGTAGGGACTCTTTCCAACTTCATACAAATATGCTACAGGTTTAAATGGCTCTTTTAGATAGATTTTTGCAAAGTGAGATAAAAAAGAACAAGTTAAAAGAAAGTGGTACTTGTCTCTCACCCACCCTCGCTTCAATACAATCCCCCAACACAATACCAGACCATGTGGAGAACAAAGGCAAGACGAGCCGTACACTTGAGGCGGACAGGGACTGCTGGCAAGGCACTTGGCGACTTCGTCAGTGGCCAGGGGGCAGACGGTACTGACAACATGGCCTTGAACTATGCACAACTTTACTTTGCATTTTCTTCTTAAATGCATAGTTTTAGGCTACTGTGTTAACATGTTCTCCAAAGGAAACTTAATCAATTCTTTAGGTTAAGAACGGGATAAGGTGAAGAGTATATTAAATAATATTAATCACAGATTTGTAGAGCTTTTAACCAGTCCTGAGAAAATTAAAGCCACAAGTCCTGTTAGATATGAAACTGACTTAGTACTCCTGCCCATGAGCCTGGTGTGGGCAGCCACCCGGGCAGCATGTGTGTGCAGAATGCCACACTGGTGCCTCACTTCCAGCTCAGCATTCTCAGAAGGCAGACAGGACCACACCCGACACTGCCCCCGCACCCTAAGTTTTCTTCTAAATGGATTTGCTTGAAAAACTTGATCTTCCAGAAGCACAAAGTCAAAAATACATAATTTGATACAGGTACACTTCAACGTTGAGGTCTAACTTAAGTTACCAAACATAGCTCATAAAACTAGCTGTCTCAAAGACAGTATTATCTTTATTAAAAAACGGATAGACATAGCAGCACTTACAAAACAAGTTCATAAAAGGCATTGTACGCTGTCAACTGATAGTGTGAAAGGTGCAAGCCCCGGCCGGCTGGCTGCAAGCCTGGCTGCAAGCCTGGCATCACCATGCTCACTCATGAACACCTGTTCCATTTACCAGGACGTACCCAGAACACCCAGGAGGAGAGCAACAGCAACAACGGTGCTGCTCAGCTTGAAGCCTTTGTCACGGTGTGAATAGTCAGTCAAACCAGGCAGCACCCTCCTTAGCAGCATCTGGAGCACTCACTGGTGTTCTGGAGGCGGCTGGTGTACTTGACCCACTCATTCAAATATCGAAGCATCCAATAAAAAACAAAAAATCACTTCTCCCTGTCCAATGTCATCCACAGAAGGACTTCTGTTGTGGAAGAGGTACACTCTTCCACTTAAATATCTGTAAAAGCGAATGCAGCAGACAGGGGAACTGGAAGTAGGCACCTCTATGCGACTCTTTGGTGGAGCAGGCTGGTGTGGTCACACGCTCTCCTGCTCGCTGCTCTGCTTCTTACCGCTCTGCGGTGGGGTAAGGACCCCAGTAGGGAGAGGAGAAATCCTATTTTGTTCGGACAATATGGCTTTCTTTGCTTGGGCTTTGTCCTGTGGATGAGAATCAAAGGGGAGACATGTCAGAGTGGAAGGGCCTGGCTTGCCATCACTCAGTGCTTTCTCTAAGAGGTGAATGAGTGAGACTGAAGGAGCAAAGAACACAGCCATCTACTGAGTGACTTGTTATTTCTCAAGGAATTAAGTTTGTCTTGGGCCCGGCGCGACAGCACAGTGGTTAAGGTCCTCGCCTTGAACACCCGGGATCCCATATAGGAGCCAGTTCTAATCCCGGCGGCCCCGCTTCCCATCCAGCTCCCTGCCTGTGGCCTGGGAAAACAGTCGAGGACGGCCCAAAGCTTTGGGACCCTGCACCCGTGTGGGAGACCTGGAAGAGTCTCCTGGCTTTGGATGGGCATAGCATCGGCCGTTGCGCTCACTTGGGGAGTGAATCATCGGACGGAAGATCTTCCTCTCTGTCTCTCCTCTCTGTATATCCACCTTTCCAATAAAAATAAAATAAATCTTTAAAATAAAAAAAGTTTGTCTAGGGTGTCTGGAGCCTGCCTGAAGGAGCATGCATAGGCTGCTGAGACGATGAACCAGCAGTTATCCAAGGAAGGGCACTGACCAGCAAATCCAAGCTGTTGATGTGGGTCTGGATGTTGTGTGCGTCTTCGGCATGGACCCCCTTGAAGTGCTTAAGTTTGGAACTTCCCGTCTCTCTTATGACCATGGCAAATGGAACCATCCACTTCACACACTTCTCTATGTCGCACCACTGATATCCTGCAAGGAAAACCAAAGTGTGGGTTCAAGCCAAGGCCAATGCTTCGCTCAGTTCAGCACACCCTGCTTGTGAAATCACTGGAAAATCAACGTACCTGAAACCTTGTGCATCAGTTCAGACGAGGAGAAATGATACAAGGCAGAAGCAGCCAGGATGCCATAAGAAAACTCTAGGCAGTCGACATCCAGGACACAGAGGTCCAAAAGCTGCAAGGAAGAGAAGGACACTGAGTCAGCTGGCCCACACACGCGGCTTCAGAGAGGTCCCCGCTCTGGCCACAGGTGGCCGCTCACCTCCGCAATCTGTATGAAGATCTGCTGGGGGTACTGCGGTAGCAGCACTTCATACACGTCATTCAGATATGCAACCTGCATGTACACATTCAGCCAGGATACAATGGTGAGAGGAGTTAAGTGCCACTTGAGGGCCTAAAAGGAACAGAGAAAGGAGACACAGGGTTCAATATGCAGCCATGTTTCGTGCCAAAACGTGTCCAGTGGGAGGAGGAAGCCTACAGTTGCACACAGAAGATATAACCTACCTTCATAATCACTAGTTCCATGGTAAGAATTTCATCCCCTGAACAAGCCCCGTCTGTAACATAGGCAAACTGGTGCAATTTAGGAGGATAGATTTCCTGGAAGAGAATAAACGCAAGACACCATTAGCAAAAACCAAAAACCAAATCTCTAAAGGGGTTTCCACTTCCAACGCACATCCAGAATTGTTCCCTGGTGCTGGAAGAGGGCTCGCTGTGGGATTAAGCTGGGAGTCACTCCAGTGCTACAAAATGTGGTTCCTGTGAAAGCTCTCTCCAGAGAGGCAGCTTGTATGCTGTACTGGTGGTGCTGACACCCCCACCTTTTCAGTACCTTGAACTACACAGCTGAAAGTTGGGACATATACTCAGATATAATCACACTATCTATTTACATTTTATTTTAGTGGCAAAGAAACAGAAAGGAAATGTTCTTCGTTGCTTTTCCAGTCCCCAAAACTGGGTCCCAGGAACCGTGCCCAGCACCGCTCTGTGGGTCCCAGGAACCGTGCCCAGCACCGCTCTGTGGGTCCCAGGAACCCTGCCCAGCACCGCTCTGTGGGTCTTGCCCACTTGCCTCCTGGAGTTCAGGGCAGCAGACCCTTGGAGTCAAGAACTGGAGCCTGGCAGCAAATCCAGGCACTCCAGTGTTGGGATGCAGGTGCCTCAACCAGCATCTGGATTGCTGGGCCAGATGTCTGACCAACCCCCTTTTCCCACAAAATTAGCCTCTGATAGTTCAAAGAATGTTTTAAAAAAAAAAAAAATAGTTGTGCTTAATGTAACGACGTCAACCTATGCATTCTATATGCTTACTATACTAATTTCTTCTCAGCTAGTTTCCAGGATTTTGTGCTTGTCTTAATTAGATACATTTAGATTATGTATTATAGCCTAGTCCATCTCTTCCCCAAATCTTTGTGATGTTCAAGAAATACATCATTATGGAAAAAATGCAACAAGTTATTTACCTCAAGTTTGGCAGCAATAAATAATGATGAAATCCCAATAAGCTGTAGAAGTGTTTTTACAATATTTTCTTGAGTGGCCATGTACCGATCAAAGAAATCTTGTGCCAAGTAAAATGTCTCCCTGTGAAGCTTGTAGACTTCACACACCTGAAAAATATTCAGTACATGTTTAGAACAATCAGTTGAAGAACCAAACAACCTAGGAACTTGTTTTGAGTTCTGGGCAGGACAGCATAACCAGTCACAAGAGAGCAGAGATACTCTGGCTTGTTGGAAAGGATGGATGCCTGGCTGTCCCCAAGCTCACACACATTGAACAACTGGGACTCAGATGGAAGACCCAGGGGTTCTGGGATCTGAGACACATTCATTACCAGGTGAAGGCAGCACTGAATTGTCACAGAACAAACAAAACTGCATGTTCTTAAAGAACACTGCCCTCCCTAATATCCCCATAGTGAGCCTTGCCATTAAGAATGGCTAATAGCTGCAATATGAATGTCCTTCAGGACAACCTGCCCAAATGCTGCAACCCTGAGCGGCTGAAGCTTTTTCAGACAGCATGAAGCAAATAACCCAGGTTTGGCTCTAATTTAGGATTTATCTCAGACTGCTTCAACTGAAAAGATTAAGACAATCCCTGCCTTGCCCACCTCACAATGATCTGGTAAGAGCACCATGGTAGGGCTGAAGGGAACAAAGAACTCTCAGACTTCAGCTCACCACCACAACATGGCAGACTGTGCACAAGCCATTGCATGGAAGTGCAAATCCAGAGAATATGTACACAGATGCCAGAGAAACAAAACTGCCAAACAGCGGCCTGCAGTGCTGTCAGACCTGCTAAAACACCTCTGAAAGCAAACTATGTCCCACGTGCTTGAGCTTGGATCCTGGATGGAGTTTGTGGTTCTTGGCTTCAGCCTAGTCCAGCCCTGTTCCACTGTGACCATCTGAGGCATGAACCAACAGATAGATGTTTCTCTGCCTCTTCCTTTGTCTGTCAATGATACATAATAAAGAATCACTCAAGACCATTTCTAAGGTCCAGGTGAGGCTATTTTAACTTCAAAAGTCTTTTATTTATTTAAAAGGCCAAGTGGCAGACAGAGAAGGAGAGAAGATGCAATGGTGGGGCAGGCCTAGCTAAAGCCAGGAGCCTGGAATGCCACCTGGGTCTCCCACGTGGAGGGCAAGGGCCCAGGTGCTTGGAGTGCCCGCTGCCTTCTCTGGCACCTTAGCAGGGAGCTGAACTGGAAGCAGAGTAGCCAGGACTGGAAGCAGAGCTCCGATACTGGATGGTGTCACAGCTGGCAGATTAATCTGCTGTCCCACAGCACCAGCTCCCAGTCGCACTCAGATCTTTATAAAACCATTCCTGCAAAGTATGATGGCATCAACTGCATTGTGACAAACCAAACTCGTCAGCCACAACATTTTTGTGAGAATCAGTTGAAATCCAAAGGATTCAAGCATACTATATCTAATGCCTCAAGGATTTAGAAAATGTTGCAGAGTCCTTGTGACAAGGGCTGTATGGTCTGAGGTGGACAACTGCAAGGCCTGCCAAGGAAATCAAGGGAGTACTGACATCCCATGGACCTTTGCACAAGCACAAATCAAGGATGACAATCTCCATACCATTTCTGTTCCACACAAACTGCAAGTCAAACACTGCTAGCAAACACCTAATGAGAAAACCCTGACTGCAGCTGAAGTGACCGGCCTACTGAAGGCACTTGGGTGGCAAGTGGCACCAGGGAGTCTGAATCTGGAACCAGCATAAACTGGGCACACGACTCTGGAAATAGTGGACTTCAAAGGGCATACAGCGCCGGGTCAGTTTTAGGCAATTAGACGCCCAACATCTGCATGTGTTCTGTACAATAAGCCACCTGAGCTGTCCTTCCCCGCTTAGGGCACACCATCTATAAGTCACTCACAGTTCATCCCAGTAACAGGTGCACTGCTGATAAAATTTCACTTTGTGTATTTAACAAATCTCTTGTTAATTTGTAATAACTTGTTCTTTTGATCAATTGTTGCAGAAGGACAAGCGTATGATCAATAAAACATGTAAACTTTTTTGTTAGGATATCATTCTGCAGCAAAAGGGAAATGCATTCCAAGAAGTCACAAATGAACAATGTAAGATCCGACTTTTCAAGATAAGCATGTTCATTTATTTCTACAACTTGATAGTATTATCAAAGAGCTGATACTCACATTCCAGTAGATACAGTCAAAAGCTATTTAATGACCAAAGCTCAAATATCAATATTTACAATTTATTGGAAAATATACCTTTGCAGCTATGTAAACTTTGATGGAAAAAAATTTAGACGCCAGCTTTAAAATGCCTAAGGCGCAAAGATACTTTAGAAATTCTTTTAAGGGGCCGGCATTGTGGTATATAGCATGTTAAGCTGTCTGCAGGCGTCCCCAAAGCAGGCTGCAGCTCCACTTCTGATTCAGCTCCCTGGTAATGCACCTGGGAGAGCGGTGAAGATGGCTGAAGAGCTTGGCCCCTGACGCCACAAGCAAGACCCAAACGGAGTTCCAGCTTTCTAACTTTGGCCTGGTCAGCCCCTGGCCTCTTAGACCATTTAGGGGAGTGACCCAGCGGGTGGGAGAGATCTCTGTCTTTCCTTATCTCTGTAACTGTGCCTTTGAAATAAACAATTCCCGCCACCGCCCCGGAAGTTACTTTAGGAAAGCAGACAAAAAAAAAAAAAATGACAGTTTCAAAGCTACAGAATGTCTTAATGGAATCCAACATACACAGTGCGATGCCCCCAGCAATGAGAAGATGCACCTCACCTCCATTAGCCAGTCCAGGAGAATGGCTCGCATCTTCGGCTGCAGAAGAGGGTGGCGCTGCAGAAAGTGCTGATCCCGGGAGTATTTCTTTTCCTTGTTTAGCATGATTTTCCAAACCTCCTCTCTATTTGCCCAGCTACCAAAAAACAAACGAAAAACAGAGCACACAGGCGTCAGTGTGCCTCCATACTAACGAGGACTGGGAACCTGTGCAGGAGACCCTGGAAGCCACGGGGCCCGCCCCAACACTCACTCCAGGACAGGCAGCGGTGAGGCTCTGGCGGGCGCCAGGCTGTATGGATCAAACGTGGTGTTTGCGTAGACCAGCTCGTCTTCCTCCTTGTCGGGTGTGGGGATCGAGGGGCAGGGGTTGGCATTGTTGTCCCACAGCTGTCAAGAGAAAGCAGAGTTGAGAACGTGTGATGTAAACCAGCTCTTTTTACATTACCTAGTACTTCAAGGAATATCTTCTCACAAGAGAATCACTGCCCTGCCTAAGCAGTCACGTAACAGCCACAGGCGTAACTTCAGGCTTTCGTTTAATTTCTGTCACTAGTTGGAGAGTCTGCGCAGTAAGCTCCCAGGAAAACGGGCAGGCAGTAGCATCTCAGCCTCTACATCATGATAAACTAAGGCACTTGCACAGCACAGTAGACGCAGGAGGGGTAAAACAAAATGCAAACAACTCTCTCATTACAAAAAGCACAAATTAATTAGTGGTTCAGCAGGTAGTGAAATGCTGTGGGATTACTTGATCAAACTTCAAGATATTTGGTTTTTGAGGGTTTTTTTTTTTTGCTTTGTTTGAAAAAAGAGACCAATCCTGTCTACTGGTTCACTCCCCAGTGCTCAAGATGGCCCAAGCAAGGAGCAGGAGCCTCAGGAGCCAGCCTGGAACCAAACGCAGGCACGCTGGTGGGGGCCTCTAACCCCAGGTCAGATGCCCGATCTCCCAAGTGGGTCTTCAGTACAGCTACACTACTAAAATGTCATTTACATGAGCATTCCACATTCACACACAATAAAGATCAAAAATGCAAACTGTCATTTTCTAGTATCTTCATTCTTAAAACAAACCTATCAAATGGCCCATCTTCCTCTGGTTATAAGCCTAGCCAAATACTTAAACAATGAGGATCTTTTGTTATCCTGAACTCAAAGCAAATCTACCTAATTAAAACCAAATCAAGCCACAGATCATGCTAACTCCATGGAGGCAGACCTCAGGGGCTCCGAAGGATCTGAGTTCTATCGCAGAGACCTGCAGAGAGCAGGATTCATACAACATTAACTGATCATGAAAGCCCAAACACTGCACTCCTCCAAAGGATTTCCAATTCCTCCTCACTCGAGTCAATTTTCAACATTTGGAAAATTAGCCATTCATATAGTATTTTCTTTTTAAAGCTACTGTTTGTCACCCCTCCCTACAGAGAATCCAAAGTTTTCATTGTGAAACTTAGGAAGGAGTGACTTTGCTGAAGATCCCAGGGAGTTAATCCCTTAGCACAGAGGATCTGTGAAGTAAGTCTGACAGCTGAGAGATGGTCACTGTTGGCTAGAGCAGACAGTGGGTTGAGGACCTGTGGATGAGGGCCCTTAAGGGGCCCCCGTGACTGTGCCTGTGGCAGCTGACCAGGAAGCCCAGAGTGAGAGGAGCAACGCTGGAGCCTGCCCTTTCCCCACCTGTGCCCCAGCACTGAGCATGCAAATTCTGCAGGGACTCCCTGCCACCAGCTGCGTGAGAAAAGCCACTGCCTTTCAGTTCTAGTGGACTGTGCTGGTAGCACTTCCTTGCTACACCTGGGCCAAGTTGCTCTTCTTTCAAGAATGAATCTGCGTCTTGAAGTACAGCTGGGTTCCACCACCAGTGGCACATCTCACCACTGGCTGAGAATAATTAAGATTATGGCCTCTAATTCTGATGTATGCCAAGTTTCACAGGGCCCTTTTATAAAATGATCAGATTCCACTTCAGATCAAACAATTGGGACTCATGTAACAAATGGCCGAACAGCCATGATAAGTAGAAACTGTCCCATAAACACATATCTTCAAGCTAACTTCCCAACAAAATGTGCAGAACCTTCACCATCCGTGTGGACAACGGGGACCCTGCCTTCTCTCGGAAATGGTGCGGCTATGTGTATTCCAGCTACCACCTCCCTGCCTTCCACGACACAGCCAGCCTTGGGCATGCTCAGGGCACCCTGCAGTACAGAGAAGCCAATGGTGATGGCTTTCCCTCACCCTCAGCTGCACGTTTCTCTTCAAAACACTCCTGGGGAAATAGCCTTGAATTTCACAAGGAGAGATTCATTTTATAACACCCATAAAATCAATCTGCTTCACTAAAAGTTTCTTTTAGGAGGAGAAAACAATAATTTGGGATGTACCATCTTGTTTCCTTTGCTACAATGAAATTTTTCTTCTAACAAGGAAATCAATCCCTTGTTCAAGTCACTGGGTCCTCCCCTTAAATGCCTAGCAGAGACTCAGGTGCAGTGATAACTGGCTATTGCAATGGTGTGGTCCTGCACTTCAAAGTCCCCAACCCCTGAGATCAGCTGCCACAGCCCCCAACTGCAGAGTGATGTGCTGGGCCATAGCCCCCAGGCCAAAGACAGTCCTGCTCGGCCTTTATCTGGGATAGTCAGAAGGCCCGGCCAGCTAGCCTGGCGATAGGCTCCTTCCCCGACTGCCACCATAACTGCAGTCTCCAGCCATTTCTGGAGGTAAAGAGATAAAGCAGGCCTTCTCTGCGCGGAATGTCTGATATTACAATGATATCACGCAGCATGCAGCATGCAGGAAATTTGGCAGTAACTCGGCTAAGGAGGGGCAAGATGAATGGAGTCATCCTTAAGGGTGTCGAGGCACACAGAGCGCTACCCAGGTTCCACCACTGAAGCGAGGGCAAGCCCAGGCAGCAGGCCGCTACCTGGGCTGGGGCAGCCTCAGGGGCCACAGAGGGAAGGAGCGTGTGTAACCTGACCTAGAGGGGACAGGTCACGCCCACACAGCACCAGTGGGGACTAGGGACAGTGTGGTCATTGGCACACACACGCAGGTCACCAGCCTTTGGGGGAGGTGGTAGCCCCAACTCTGCCACTGGGATCGGCCCCTCACCCAACCCAGTCTTGGCTTCGTCAAGGGCTAAAGAAAGGACCGCATTCCTCCAGGTCCACTCCAGTTCTTCCCAGGGCACACCTGTAACCTCAGAGAGGTCCAATGAGCCACATGGCCTGCCCTGGAATCCGGAGAGCACCTGCTCAGTCACTCTGTGTCCCACAGGGGCTGAGAGGCCCCGGGGCAGGCCCAGGCCCAAGGCCACCTACCTGACTGCCACACTGGCCTCTCACAGGCCTGTCGATCTCGGCAATTTCTTCATCTGGATCCTGCAAAAACTAACAGAACCACCACCAGCCCCAAGAGACAAAAACACAGAGAAGGGGGGGGAGAGGAAGGCTGATTAGATGTTGAGCACCCAAGGGACCCAACCTGTCCCCCAAACCCTTACCGGTAACTGTGAAACCCACCCATGTCTAGTACCCAGGTAAGACGGAGGGGGTCGAGCTCTCCTCAACCTGTGCCCTTTGTACTCACAACAGCCACATCTGCCTTCCTTTTCCTGGTGCGGAGGGTGAAGTCGGTGCCACCTTCGTCTTTCATGGTCTCCAGTTCCTTTGCATCCCTGCAGGCCAGGGTGGCACCAAGGCTGGGGTGAGTCTCCCCTCCCCCTCCCCCACCGCCGCACACCCTCCCCGTCCTGCAGCGGCCGGGCCACTCACCTCTCCTTCCTCTCCCTCGGCATGGCGTGGGGCTTCAGCTAGCACCTCGGGCCTGGGGGCATCAAGCAGGCAGTGGGGTGAGCACACCGGGGGCCACGGGACTAGAGCCCAAGGGCTGGCCCGGGGCACCCCTCCCCCTCCCGCGAGGGTGGTGGTGGTGACGGCGGCGGGAGCCTCCCGGGCCGGCCGGGAAAATGGCCGATGGGCCCGGGGTGGCCTGTCACCCGCCACGCCGTCCGCGGTCCGTGGTCCCGGGTCCGAGCCCGGGCGGGGGGAGGCCTCCGATGTCCCCAGAGACACCCCCCCCCAGCCGACCCATCACCTCCCTGGGGGCCCCGGCTGCCTCGGTCTCCCCTCAACACCTCCCCGTTCGTACCCCATCTCCAAGCCACCATGCCCGGGGCACCCCGCGCGGATGCCCCCCGGCACCCAGCGACCCGCCCCACCCCCACCCCCACCCCGGCCCAGCCCGGGCGCTCGAGAAGTCGCGCCGCGGCGCCGGTCCCAGCAGCCCGCAGCAGGGCGCTTACCCGGAGCCGTCTCCACGGCCGACAGCGGTGCACGAGCCGGGGCAGGAGACGGGAGACAGGAGATGGGCAGCGAGCGGAGAGTCGGCAGGCGGCGGCGGCGGGCCCTGCGCGCGGCGGTGGCGGGATCCGCGCCTGCCCCCTACACCGCGCTGGCTGCCGAGCCGGCTGCTCCTGCGCCCGGCTTAGAGCGGGACATTTAAAAATCCCTGCGCGCGGAACCGGCCCCGGCCCGCCCTCGCACCTCCCCGCCGCCGCCCCGCCCCGGCCCGCCTCCCGGCCCGCCCAGCCGCCGCCCTCTGCGCCGCCGGCCAGCAGGGCGCGCGGACGGCCGGAGGCGGGGACCGCGCGGGGCGGGCCCCCGGGACGGGGCCTGCGCGCCAGACGGGCAGGACGCGGGACGTGCTGGGCGGGGCCGGGGCCGCGGCGGGGCCTGCGCGGGGCGGGACGCGGGAGAGCCGGCCGGCGCGCGCCGAGGAGGGCGGGGCTGCGCCGGGCGCAACGCGGGAGAAGTGTGGCGCGAGCGCGGCCCGGGGCGGAGCGCAGGGCCCGGGGCGGAGCCGCGCGGCGCCCGAGCGGCAGCCGGCCGCGTGGCGGGCGCGGGAGGAATGTAAACACGGCGGCGCGCGGGGTTCGGGGCCCGGCGGGTCTGCCCAGGGCAGGTGCGTGAGAGCGTGCGGCCCCCGGCCCCCGCCGGCCTTGGACATGCCGCGCGCCGCGGCGTGCGCACCGTCCCGCCTGGCACGTCTTCCCCGCCCCTAAGACGCAGGGTTCTGGGACCTGCGTGTCAGGGCGGGGATGTCCCCAAGGTCACAGCGCCTAGGCCCTGGGCCTAGAACCTGGGCTCTCTGGAGCTGCGTCTGGGGTCCCCTGCGGTGCCTATGGCTCCCTCTCTCCGTGCGTTTGTTGATTCATTCGTTCCACTCATGTTCCAGCACCTTGTGTCCTGTGCCTTACCCCCCAGAGCCAGAGCATCAGAAGGCCTCTTTGACCAGGGGCTCCGTTGCACCCGTCTGTTTGCCGTCAACCTCAGGCTTTCAAGCAGCTTGTTACGAATTGGACCTCAGGCCCATGGGGTCTTGCTCCCGCACGCTCTCCTGTCCCTTCTCACCTCAGGGCCCTGGAATTCGTCCTGGGGGAGTCCTCTGTGCTACTGCCCTGCTAAGTTGCCTTGCAGCACCTGCTGCCCTGGGTCTCTCCTGGCTTGTTTCTTTGACACCCCCCGCCCCCCTTGTCAGTCTCACCCTGCTGGAGCCCTCAGCTCCTGGCCTGGTGCCTGGAGGAATTTGTGAATGAATGGCTGGTGAGAGAGACAAGTATGGACCAGTTGTTGCTCAAGCTTAGCTTCTGTACTCAGCTTGGAACAGGTCTTTGGAATGTGTCCTCAATCTGGTCTTCCCCAGTGACCCACTTGCCTTCAGAGTCTGGTGACGGCCCAGGTGCTCAGGGTGTCCTAAGCAGGCAAGAAGCCAAACTTCTTCACCCCAATCCTGTGCCCACTAGAAATAGCAAAAATCCAAGTATCGTCACAGTGTTCTCAAAATGGCAGCCGCATGCCTTGTTCTAGCAGTCCTGTTCTGCTGACTCCGGGACAGCCTCTGGGGTCCAGGTCGTGACTGGAAGGGGACGAGGGACATGTCTGCCAGATCTAAACACTGGCCACATGGCTGTAGGCACACATGCCAGTTCCCTGAGCTGGGGGCTCAGGGCTAAGCACTCAGGCACGCCACTAAGTGTGTCTTACTGGGATGGTGCTGAATCTGTTGCTCGTATCAGTAACAGAGGACTCAATGAACTCCATGAGCTATTTAGCACTTTATTGTAAAATACTTTTGTGTTGGAGTATCTTGCATATCCAGGTTAGGCATATTAAGTGCGTTTTTAAAAAGATTTATTTATTTAGGCCCGGTGCGGTAGCCTACTGGCTAAAGCCTCACCTTGCATGTGCCGGGATCCCATATGGGCTCTGATTTGTGTATCCTGGCTGCTCCACTTCCCTTCCCTGCTTGCAGCCTGGGAAAGCACTCAAGGGCGGCCCAAAGCCTTGGGACCCTGCACCCACCTGGGAGACCTGGAAGAGACCTCTAACTCCTGGCTCCGGATCAGCTCAGCTCTGGCCATTGTGGCTACTTGGGCAGTGAACCAGCAGACAGAAATTCTTTCTGTCTTTCCTTCTTTCTGTGAATCTGACTTTTTTTTTTTTTAAGGATTTATTTATTTTTATTGGAAAGTCAGATATACAGAGAGGAGGAGAGACACAGAGGAAGATCTTGTGTCCGATGATTCACTCCCCAAGTGAGCCGTAACGGCCAGTGCTGTGCCTATCTGAAGCCAGGAGCCCAGATCCTCTTTTGGGTCTCCCACGCGGGTACAGGGTCCCAAAGCTTCGGGTCGTCCTCGACTGCCTTCCCAGGCCATGAGCAGGGAGCTGGATGGGAAGCGGGGGTTGCCGGGATTAGAACAGGTGCCCATATGGGATCCTGGCAAGTTCAAGGTGAGGACTTTAGCCGCTAGGCCCAAATCTGACTTTCTAAGAAAAATAAACAAATCTTTCAAAGAAGGTATTTGAAAGGCAGAGTGAAAGCAAGAGAGAGGTATTTCCTCTGATTCATTCACCAGAATGGTCTCAACAGCAGAGAGCAGCCAGGCTGAAGCCGGGAGTTGGGAACTTCTCCCAGGTCCTCCATGGGTGTGGGGGCCCGGTCACATCCACTGCTACTTTTCTGGATGCATTGCCAGGAAGTCGGATCAGAAGTGAGTGGCAGGATTCAAGCCAGTGCACATATGCGATGCTGGCATCTCGGGGAGCTGCCTAACCTGCTATGCTACAACTTCAGCCCCTTAAATGTGTTTTTTATCCCATTTTCCACTTAATGTGAGTTTATCAAGACATAAGTCCATGACGAGTCGGAGAGCATGTATACTTCCATAAATAAGAAGGTAATTTATATATATAAAACAAGACACAATCCCTGCCCACTTGGGAGCTGCCAGTCTGTCAAGGAGGCAGCCTGAAAGTTTCCATATAGAGCAGCAAAGTCCAGGCAGGGAGGCCTCTGGAGCTGTGACTTCATGTGGGAAGGGAGGGGGGCATGAAGCCTGCACGTGGGGGCTGAGGTTGTATGGAGCAGGAAGGAATCAGGTTATCAGTAGACAAGACGAGGCTGTGCGAACAGCCTGTACAGCAGCTGGAGGTCTTCCGAAGTTGCTGATGGCCAGCTGCCTGGAGCAGCTCACCTGTGTGTGTCTGGGTTCATTTCATTTTTGTGTCTGCTACAGAGCTGGGGTCTCCAAGCAATAACTCCGTCTTGGGGGAGGCTGGAGACCACATCGCTGCTGACCAGCTGCTGTGTAGGAAGAGCAGCGCCTCCCCTCTGCCGTGAGACTTCGGGAAATTTCCATACTCGATGCTCTGGTTTCCGCATTGTTTTATGAATTTCAAATATTTATTTGAGAGGCAGAGAGCAAGGAGAAAAAAATGAGAATGCATGAGATCTTCCACCCACCAGTTCATACTCTACATGGCTACAGTGGCCAGGCTGGCCCAGGCTGAATAAAGCCAGACCCCTGGAACTGCATTCAAGTCTCCCACATGGGTGACAGGGGCCCAACTACTTGGCCCGCCTGCTGTTGCTTTCCCTGGCACATTAGCAGGGAGCTGGATTGGAACTTGCTAGAACATGAACTGTTGGTCTTATGGAATGCTGGTGTCACAGCTAGTGGTTCAACCGACTGAGCCACAAGGCAAGCCCCACTTTCTTCATCGTTAAAGTAGAAGTGATTCTCATTGTCCCAACCTCAGCGTTACTGTGAAGAGCAAATATTTTTATATCCAGGATGCACTCGCAACAGTATCTGGCACATAGTAAATGCTCGTTATGTATCCATCATTGTTATAAAGAAAACTGGGGACATTTGCTTAGATTCACATTAATCCGGGCCCTGGGGATGGGGGCGGGATGAGGTCAGGAGACAGGATATAAAGATCAAGTGAGATGGGGTGTGCAAGGGGAAAGTCCTTCCAGATAGGATTGCTTGACAGGGGGCCCCAGACAGGTGTCAGGAACCCAGGAGACTGCCGCTTGACCAGGCAAGCCCATCCACAGCCTCTGAGTGCTCTTGACTGGATAACTGGGCCCTGCCTTTGACCAACTCCCTAACAGCAGCATAGACACACAAGGGGCTGGCTGCTGGAGAAGGCTGAGCAGGGACCATATGGTGGCTGAGCACAGAGCCAGCCAGGCCTTTGCAGTCAGGCAGAGCTGGCTGCCTGGATGAGTCTTCATGTGGAAATACCAGCAGAGGGGCCAAACAGGCTGTGCTGGGGGAGCTGAGAAATGGGGGCCAAGCTGAAGGAACAAGACCAGAGAGGGACTGCAGCCCAGCGCCAGGAAACCTGAGTGTGGGAAAGCCCTGGAGGCTTGGCTCCCATCCTCCCTCAGCCTGGGAACCCTGCCTGCCTGCACAGGCCTGCCAGGGCAACCAGCATCAGGGCCCCAGTCCCCAGACCGGCTCTCTAAGGCTCCCATTGCTGTGTATGGACCCTGAGGATGGGTGTCTTGCAAGCCCACAGCAGAATGCAGCCCTGCCCTACCCCCATTACTTGGGGGAGCAAGTGCCGTCAACACTTCCTACAAGGCTCTTGCCAATTAGAAAGTTCACCGAGGATCCAAAGTGTGCTCACAGCACGATACGTGCCAGCAGCTGACATCCATGGTCCTGTGCTCAAGAGTGCAGCCTCTGTTGCCAACAGAGATGGGTGTGAAGACCCTCGGAGGAGTAGGAATCAAAGAGCAGTGAGTGGGGGCAGATCTGCAGGTACAGGCTGCCCTGCAGCCTGGGCAAAGGCTCAAGGTTGCTTTCCTCTGCGCCTGTCCACCGTATCCACAGCTTTAATTTAAAACTCCTCTTTTTGGGTTTTTTGAAGACAAGCACAGCTGCAAAGCAGAGCAGGGGCTTGGAGAGGGAAAGCTCTGGCATCTCCTTCTGGTCAGGGATCAACATTTTTCTCTAAGCACCACCCTCCTGCACTTTGATGGGAGAGAAGCCTTGTCCAATCAAAGCACCACATTCCTGGCCATATGATTGGTTC